TATAAAAGATAAAAATACGACACAAGCGATTTTATACTGGTTCGGGAACTCCCTACTCCAGTACCTCGAGGCTCCTCCTCAAGGATTTAACCTCCACTAACTTGTTTGGCTTCACTAAGAAGACTCAAATGAGGTTTGGCAAACAACCCTTGCCAATAAGCAAATGAGATTTTACTACGGCTATCTCAACCGTTTACAACCGAAGATTTTAAGGCTATCTTCAACCTTACAATGAGGATTTAGAGGCTATCCACACCTTTTACAAATCAATAAAAAGATTGGTGTTGCTTCTCTACCAAAATGATAACAAATGTAAGTTGGGTAGGAGAAGAACAAAAGATTAAATCAACAATAACAAAAGCCTATAGGCAAGATATAAAATAATGAAGCACAAATGCCCTTGTGTGTGAGTGTATGAAATAAAAGATTTTTACTCAAAAGAGTAAGAAAAATAAGAACAAAGCTTTAAGAACACTCAAGAATAGAGAAAGAGGCTTTAGATTTAATTGGGAAGTTGTTGTGAATAAAATGAGGCTTATAGGGGGTTTATATAGGAGTTTGGAATGTTAAAATTTGAGTTTTGAACGTTAAATGCCGTTAGGAAGTGATTAGGGGTGATTTGAATTTAAATTGGCAATTTGCTACAGTGCTGCCAACGGATCCGGTACCCTTCACGGTAGCGTCAGTACCGTCCGCTACCTAGGTACCGTGACCCACGGTATGGCCTACCGTTTGGGGGTACCGTGTAAGCCAAAAAATTGGTTCGCCTCTAGCGGTAGGTAGTTAGGACGGGTTGGCCCAACCGTCTGTGCCTACCGTCCGGTACCCAGGTACCGTTACGCGGTAGGGGGGTACCGTGTAACACTTGGGTGAAACGTACAGCGGTACGTTCACTTGGCTACCGGCGGTACCATGGTGCCGTGTACACGGTAGCAAGGTACCGTATGACCTGTGCAATTTTTCAAAACTCGTTTTTCGTGTTCCGTGTTCAAAATAACCCCAACTTAGAATATTTTTGACATTTTAGAAATAATTTTTGAGTGAAAGGGCATAAGTAAATCATTAAAATATATCATTACCTTTACACAATAATTCCTAAACTCATAGGAGTATTTCTCGGTGATGCTAAACAAGCTAATAGAGGTTTGGCGTTTGTTTTCTTCCTGCAAATGATGTTAGTAGCATTTGGAAGACTTATTTGGCACATCAAAACGGTTACGGGGTACGGCATTCAAGGCCAACAAGCGGTGCACTCCACCACGAAGTCAGCTAACGCTTGGCCTTTGATCGCTGGCCTTGGCTTGAATTCGATCTGGAAAGCTCCAAGGAACACCGCCCACTTGGACATGCGCGAGGGCGCGTTCGGGCACCTGAGCAGCGCACCAATAGGCTGTTGGGAGAGCACTTGGACCGGGTGAGCTTGGAAGTAGGGTGTTAGCCGCTGCACGGTTGAAACCACGGCCAGGACCGTCTTTTCGACTACTGAGTACCTGAGCTCGGCACCCCTTAGCGTCTTCGCCGTATAATACACCAGGTGCTGAGCTCCACCTTCGTCTCGGACTAGGACTGAGCTCAAAGCTTTGGGTGAAACTCCCAAGTATAAGTACAACGTCTCCCCCGCTTCGGGCTTCGCGAGAACCGGAGGGGAGAGGAGGTAGGACTTGAGAGATTCAAAGGATTGTTGGCATTCTTCCTTCCACACGAACCCTCGGGACTTCTTCACAGCTTGGAAGAACGGAGCGGCTCGGTCCGCTACCTTGGAAAGGAAGCGGCTGAGCGCAACCAACTTACCGGTCAAGCGCTGCACCTCCTTGACATTTCGTGGAGCTTCCATGTCAAGGATGGCACGCACCTTCTCAGGATTGGGCTCAATACCGCGCCTGCTCACCATATGTCCCAAGAATTTGCCGCCATGAACTCCGAACGTGCACTTCTTCGGATTCAGCCGAAGGTTGTACTTCTCCATAATCTTGAAAACTCCTTCTAAGTCTTCCGTATGGGTGGTCGCCTGCTTTCTCTTCACAATCATGTTGTCGACGTACGCTTCCATGCTCTTCCCGAGGACGGGCGCGAAGAGCTTGCTCACCATCCTAGCGTAGGTCGCCCCGGCGTTCTTGAGCCCAAAAGGCATCACCTTGTAACAATATACTCCGCCGGGGGTAGTGAAAGACGTCTTCTCTTCGTCCTCAGGGTGCATCCGGATTTGGTGGTACCCGCTGAAGGCATCCATGAAACTCATGAGCTCGCAAGCCGCCGTTTCCTCCACCAGCTGGTCGATGTTCGGGAGTGGGAACGGATCCATGGGGCATGCCTTGTTTAGATCGGTGTAGTCAACGCACATCCTCCACGTGTTTCCCTTGGGTTCCAGCACCACGTTGGCCATCCACTCCGGGTACTTAACCTCCCTGATATGCCCAATGCTCTGGAGGGTGGCCACCTCCTTGGAGACAAACTCCCTCCGCTCGGATGAGAGGAACCGCTTCTTCTGCTTCACCGGCCTAGACTCCGGGTTGACTGCCAAGCGGTGACATATGACTTTGGGGTCCACCCCCGACATATCCCCGGGTCCCCACGCGAAGATCACGCGGTAGGCGGCGAGCACGTCCACCAAGCGCTTCCGCTGGCCCCTCGTTAGGCTCGCCCCGATCTTAACCTTCCGCTCGGGTATCTGTGGGTCGAGCGGCACTTCCTCGACCTCCTCAGCGGGCTCGGCCTTCGGCCGTGCTTCCAGCTTCCGCATTTCCTCCTGCGCGTGCACGACCAACGTCTCATCTCTTGGCAACTTCTTTGTGATTCGGACATAGCACGATCGAGCTAACTTTTGTTCTCCCCTCGCCACCCCGATTCCCGAAGGAGTGGGGAACTTCATGCACAAGTAGTATGGGGAGATCACACATTCTAAGTCCTCAAGGCCGGGCCGTCCTAGGATCATGTTGTGCGCGCAACTGATGCTCACAACCATGAACTCCATCTTCAACTTGGCCTTGTGCGCACCATCCCCTACTATCACGGGCACGGTGATGACTCCTTCGGCCTCGATGGAGTCCCCCGTGAACCCGGAGAGAGGAGTGCGCACGGGCCTTAAGTCTTTGCGGTCCAAGCCGAGGTCTTGAAAGGTCTTCTCATACATTATGTTGACCGAGCTTCCCGTGTCCACCAAGGTGCGGTGCACTATGGCGTTGTTGATCTCTATCCTCACAACTAAGGCATCCCGGTGAGGGCTCGGCGTGTTCGGAAGATCCTTCTCCGTGAATTGGATTTGCTCTCGTCTTCTGAGCTTGGGCGCCGGCGCCTGTTGGACGTTGGCGACGAAGGCCATGTGCTTCCACCTCTTCCTTTGAGCGGCGGAGTCCCCGCCGATATTTCCTCCGTGGATGAATCCCACTGGATATCCTTGGGCTTCGTCCTCGTCTAGGTCATCACACTCTTGCCCAATGTGCCTCTTCTCGGGGTTCCTCGCATGCGTGGCCACCGCTACCGGCTCGGTCGGCTTCCTCCACGTTCTTCCTTCTGGCGGACCCCGGGAAGGAGCTGCTCCATCGTCTCGCGGAGCCGGCCCTCGGGCGATGAGTCGCTGCATCTCCTTCTGGAGAGTGAAGCATTCCTTAGTGTTATGAGTGCTGTTGCGGTGATAATCGCAGTACTTGGCACCGATGGACACCGCATAGGTTTCTACGTGCGGGAGCGGGGAGAGGGCCAGCTCTCGACCCGTCCCCGCGGGCGCGCCCACAGAGTACACACCCGCCGAGGGCGTCCTCGGGCCCACGGTGTAGTCTTTCTTCTTTTTCCTCTTCTTCAATATCTCCTCTGAATCTGCGGGAGCTCGCTTGGCCGGCGCGGCCTCGGAGTCAGGGGCATCATCGAACTCCTCCGAGGCCAAGAACTTAGCGCGCGCCAAGGTTTCTTGGTACGTGGGGGGAGGATTCTTGCGGAGCTCCTTCCTCACCTCACCGCGGGGAAGGGCTGCTTGGAACATGGCCACCAAAGCTTGGTCATCCGCCCCATGCACGTCTCTGGCTTCCTTCTCCCACCGGGTTATGAAGTCGCGGATCTTCTCTCCTTTGCGGATGCAGATGTTGAGCAGGTGGGAGTAAGGTAGCCTCTGTCTTTGGTTGGCCGCGAAATGCGTCAAGAACTTCTCCGCTAGTGTATCCCAATCGTCAATGGTTCCCCTCGGGAGCCGGTTGAACCAATCGCATGCGGAGCCCTCCAGCGTCGCGAGAAAGCATCGGCACTTGACCTCGTCCGGGGCTGCCGCCGCTTCCATAGAAGCATAGAACTTAGACAAATGATCTTGGGGGTCCGTCGTCCCCTTGTAGGCCTTGATCTTCCACGGCCGGAAGTTTGCCGGCAGCGGAATCGACATAACCCTCGGAGTGAACGGGGTTACCGTCCGCAAGATGGGCTAGCTATAGTGAGCCCTGGTCTCCACTCGGCGCTTGAGCTCGGCAATCTCACGAGCAAGCCGAGATACCCCTTGGTCAGAGATCTTTGTCTTCTCAGTTTTTTTGGACTATGGCGACGCTGGGTGCGCTCGTCCCGCCTTTCTCTGCTCCGCTTGGGCCTCGCCGAGCGAGCATCCGATGTCGCGGACTCCTCAGCATACCTCCGCCTGCCTTCGGTTATTTGTCGGCAGAGGTCGCCCGGGCGAACTTCCGGTCCGCGGTCGAGCCTATCGAAGGCCGACACGGGTCTCTTCCCCTCCTAAGCGTCTGAAGGCTGACACTCGGCACTCGCTGGACTCATCGTCCTCCTCCTCCGGAACGTCCTCCACAATCACCTCCTCGATCGCCGGGGCCTTGCCGGCCCTCCTTCTGCTCCTCCGGGTCTTCTTCCCTTTGTGTTGGGAAGTGGCAGGGTGTTCGGCGTGGGAGCCAAGCGGAGCTTTACCAGCCCCGGCGCCGGGCACGTTCCCACCCAAGGCGGAAAGTGCCGCAACGGCCGCCGGGAGCTGCTCCGCGGTCACCCCCAAGCCGAACAGCGCCTGGACTGCGTCCGGAGTCGAACCGATACCTCCCGTGCCGTTGCCGCTGCCCGACGCGTTCTCCTCGCCAACTACGTGGCTGGTGGTGGGGACGTTGCTCCTTGTTTGCACCATTCTCGCGTTCGGGAGTTAACCTACGAGTATGTTCCTCTCCTCTCAACGAGAGCACCAATTTGATGGCTATAAACAACCGAGAGTATGAAATAATATAATTTTTAGAGAGAGAGAATGCAAAGTAGGAGTATATTGATTTCAAATTCGGGTCCATTACAATGAGGGGTGCCACCCCTTTTATAGGGGGTACAATAAGCTAAGTCAAAGCTCTCTGATTGATGCCCGTCGTCTAGCGGACGGCACCTGTCCTTGCGTCTTGTTCCTTTCATCCTATCGTTTTCATCAAGTCTCCGTTGAACGTCGCTTTCCGCATGTCATTGTCGCGGGGCTCGGGCTCGGCTTGGTTGGCCAAGCCGAACAGGAGGGACGAGCGGAGCGCAGAGCCGGGCAGGAAGGACGTTCAAGCCCGATACTTGGGAAATTTATGCTGATGGCAGTCCTAGGCTGGCGTGGGGTTATTCCCCATCATTTATAATGTGAACTTTGAAATGATTTATGGAAATAAATCATGGAAATAAATAATATGAATTAAATGTGAGAACCTTTTTGAATAAAAGTCAATTAAACTAATTTTGACTCTGTCGAAGTCAACCACCCAAAAATATAATTTCGGAAAAAGTATAACGAATAAATGTAAAAATTATATCATTGGATAGAGTTTAATTGTATGATCGCAACGGTGTAAACGGATTTCAATTCGGAGAAAGTTGGACCAAAAAATGTACCTCGACTGGGACCGAATTAGTCCCAATCAGAGAAGTAACGTCATAATCGCCTAGAAATCACATCTCCACTGAATGAGAACGTGAATTGGGAATACTACGCAGCAGCAGCTCATCTTCCCTGTCTTCTTCTCTTCTCCTCTTCTATATAAAGAACCCAATTCTCCATTTCTTCACCATTCTCTCTATTTCTTCTTCCATTTTGTTCCTGAGAGTGTGGAGAGTAGAGTGGTGCTGTCCAGAGAGTTGGAGGTCGCCGGAGCTAGCCATAAATCTCGCTGGAAGTTTTGCCAGAATATCGTCAAAACCTCCATAAAGCTTCGAGGTAAGCCCGTTGATATATCTAATGACTAGAATGTTCGTATAGATCGTTTCTACGTTCATAAACGGTCGTTTGGTTGAGTTTTGTGTTTGACAAACTTAAAGAACCAAGAATCATAAACCATGAATTTGATGTTTAAACTATGAATTAATGGTACCAAAATGACCTATGAACCTTGGAAAACATTTATATATTGTTAAATTAAAGTTCGGAAACTAAAAATGGAATTTTTGAAATTGGAGTCGCGAGGTAGAAGACGATGAACAGTGGCTGAAAAGCCACTGTCTAGATCGATCATATGCCATGGATTGATCCTCTAGGAGTTTTGTTCCATAGTATGGATCAATCCAGAGGGCTGGATTGATTCCCCAAAAATCTGATCCGAAAATTTGTCTGAAAATGCTATTTTTTAAGCTCTAAAGTTCTATTTTTGATGCCCATTGATTATGATCATTATAAAAATGATTTACCACAATAAAAATGATGTTTTTGACAAATAAAATGTTATGTGTTGCATGACGGTAAGTTCGGGTGTTAACACCCGAAGCTAGGCCGCTATTTGCTATCGAATGTTATATTGATTGATGATTATGATGAATGATTACTATGGCTTGATGACACCACTAATTAAAATAATTATCAAGGATTAAATTATGAATTGAAATGAATATGTTGATGATTATGAAATGATTTGGATTGTAAGGATATCTAGAAGAACTCTAAGATATACCTAGGTTGACGTTGGTTTTTTAGACTATCAAGAAGACCTCTAAGATAGCTTAGAAATAGGCCTTGCGGGTATAATTATGAATATTCGGTGGCCTGGGTTAAAACGTACGTACAAGATCTACAAACCAAACTTGAGGCACTCGTTTGGGGATACCACCCAACCCGACAGTGAGCATTTCGTGCGCTGTTCGGTTTTTGGATGACCTTAAGCGAAGGTAAGTTTAATATTTTGAAAACCTCTTTTTGAAAATTTGTATCTTAAACTAGGCCTAGCTTAAGGGTTAATTAAGAGTACCTCAAACTGGAATGTAGTTTAATTATATTAAACTAGAATTCGTTTAAGAGTTGGTAAACGTCAAATATATTGGCCTTAGACTAAGAATAGTTTAAGCATATTGTTGAATGACAAATGATGAATATTGTATGATGAATGTTGAATAAAAATGTTGAATATACATGTTGAACGATTAAATAATTGTTGGGAAAAATATTATAGATTTTGATGATGATGTATTTAAAATGTAATAGGGACTCTAGGTCTCCCCCAACATTCAATGTAATTTTTCTTTTTAGAAATATTGTTAAAACCGAGTTCTTGAGATTTCCAATAAAGTTATGATATTTCTTTAAGCGTTTTGATGCCTGAAGACTTAATCAAATTCAGTGATATGGAAATTGGATATCTTGATTGGAAATGTCAGAGACAAGTAAGGATTTCTCAAGCAGATGAAAATCCTCTGATCCGGAAGACTACAACCGGATGTCTCGCTACAACCCGCTGAAGGCTAAGTCATCCAAATCGGAAGACTAGCGCGGATCTCTTTCTCACCCGGAAGTCTGAGAATGACTCCTCCGGATTTGTCAGCTAAGAATCGGAAGACTCATTGAAGATCGGAATTCTCAGAAAGCGGACAAGTGAGAAAAGACTTAGAAAATTATCTAATTCTTGAATGAAGAAATTCTACCCGTTGGTAAGGAAAAATCAATCTCTTGATTTTCAACGGCTAGATTGAAGATAATTATGCTGATTCAAGAACAAATGACTCGAAGACAAAGTCTGGACCTCTAAAATTGAAGAGCCTGTCCAGAATTCCTAAACAAGCACTAGAAGACAAACAGAGTAAAGTGCTACAGTCTTGAATTCTTGAACAACAGCTAGAAGACGGATTCTGTGGAAAAAGGAATCCTTTCTCAACAATTGGGTACGTCCAAACACCCACTTCAACAAAGAATCTTCAAATCACAATCTTCATTCAAAATTGAAGCCAGCAAATGCAACGGATAGTCTATTATGATTCAACGGATAGATTATCCAATCCAGCTATAAATAGCA